GCATTTCGGTTCCGAAGGGTGCTGGTGAAATTACAGGCACATGAGACTTGTCAACTTATGTCCTAAGGTGAAGGGCGCAGTGGCAATGGATCTTTGTGATTTAAAGCCCTATGGATCTTTGTGATTTAAAGCCCTGAGTAGCACTGCAATTGTTATGAACAGGAGTGTCGCCTACCATCAGGCGCACGACTTGTTCGTCTCATCGCATGTTATCATGAAAAAGACGCCTCGTGTACATAAAAATGTACATAAATAAATATATAAAGCGATCCAGACCCAGATAATAGGTCCTATGATCACATAAACATTAACTAATTATATTGAAAATATCGCATACTTTGGCGCTATTTAGAATATATATTCTACGACTAGAAAAATTCTACACTTTTTCGTACAAAAACTGAAATCTAATAATTCCTTAAATTGACCAATCAGCATCAACATCAATACCTAACAACTAATAATACCTAACATGACCATTGTTATTTCCCTCAGAGCAGGACGCCTGTAAATTTATTATTGTTTTAAAAATAAAGCACATGTTTGTTATAATAGTTGCGAAATAAAATAAAAAGAAATAAAATTGTTTAATGAATCAAAAATTTTAAGGAACTAATTTTGTGTAGTCTGGTGCTCGATGTGTATTTGGCTGGCTTTATATATTTTTCACCGACTTCAAAAAAAAGAGGAGGTTCTCATTGGACTGTATGTTTTTTTTGTAGGTATGTTACGCGATAACTCCGATATTTGTGAACCGATTTTCATGATTCTTTTTTAGTTGGAAAGAGGATATCTCCATAGTGGTCCCATTTAATTTTGAAGAAAACCATCCACCTCTAAGGGTGGGTGTTCACGCATGAAGATTCATTTTTATAAATAGCGCCTATATTTAATTAAAAGGAGCAATTATTTTAATGGTTGATTTTGCTATTCTCCAATTCAAGGCGTTTTTCTCTCAATATACTTTGAGTAGTGAGAACCGATTTTTATTATTATCTTCTGTGTCAAGTCCCGTATAGTGGCGAACTAGGGGATGAATCCGTGGTTGCGCACTTTCTGGTAACCGGTTTCAATAAAACTTGGTAATTGTATGTAATTCCACGTACTTTTGAGGTCGGTTTTTTTAGTACTCTGTACTGAGATTATTTTTAAATTTATTGCTACGTGTGTTCTGTTTTGTGAAAGCGGGATAGTTTTAAGTATTTTCGGGACAGCAGGGCACGAACCCTAAAAGCTGGATGCATGGTGACGTCGGATATACCGGTTGAACATTTGTAGTTTTTCACGTTAAGCAAGTTGTAAATTAGATAATACTCGTATTCCGCATTAAAATAACTAAAATAACTAGTTTAAGGTCAGCTGGTTAATAAAAGTTGAATCAGGAAATATGATTGCATTGCATAAAAGGCCGATTTACTTTAGCATTGAACATCCTTCAATTATAGTTTTCGGGTAATATGATATAGTATATTTAAGTGTATTAATATTTATTTTCCTAGTGTTGCAATTAATATTCAATATTCGGCCTGGAGCGTGGCCGAGATACCGAATATACGGCTTACTATAAGCACGTACGAAAATTGGCACAAAAAATAGCAGTTATTAACTTCAGTTATGATAAACAATTTTGTACAATAGAACAAGAAAGATAATTTCATTTTCAAGTTTATAATTTAAATTTATAATTAATGAAGAAAGTAATAGTTTCACTTAGTTTGATTAAGTTTCAAAAATTCAATTTCATTAACGATTGCAAATACCTAATAAGTATTAGTTGATTTTGTTACCGTTTATTTATTCATGAGTACCTAAAGTGTATGTAGTTAATAGTTTTCATTTAATAATCTTATCTTACTGATTTCTGAAAAAATAACTTAGATAAGTAATATTTATTTGATCTTTTATAAAAGTATCGAAAAATTGCGCTTTCGCGAACTTACAGTTTATACTCAGCTTTAATATAAGTAACATGATAATTTACTATGTTTTTTTCTTATTTCTTTCTCCTGTTTCAAGGTATTGGATATTCGGCCGAATACCAAAAAAACAGACCGAATAATTCGAATACCGAAGAGTAACCGAATATTCATTGCAACTCTATTTTTTCCCCTATTATACTATAACGAGATACTTTCGCACTAACACGTTACACCTTGCTTTATAATTCATAAATCTACTGATCAGGGAAGTGACCCAGTAAAAAAACAGTAAAAATCAGTATGGATGCTGCAGTTAGTCCAATTGTATATACATAATTTTTTTAATGTACTAAAACAATTCTCACCCTTGGTTGTAACCAGGCTACATCTGCAAAATGACAATTTTTCAGAAGAAAGGTTTGAAGATTCTACTAACGAAATTAGGGTTTTATGCTCAAATAGAAGAGATATTTCACATAAACATAAATTGTTTCATGTAGTTTGTATTCTTTTTAAGAATTTTATGTAATGAAAGTATTTTTGACGTGGTTTTTATTGTACCAAGAGTAGGAATTACAGATTTTTGCCTTTTCTAATGAATGATGGCCAGTAACGTACCCTATTAGCATTGAAGTCAGCCATAGCTGCAACATCAGGACATGCCCCCGGGAACAATACTTGAGCTCTGCATACTCTTAGGGACAGGAACCCACAAAGGAACACGGCGATTGCTCGAATAACCGACATCTGAAAATTTATGAAAATTATGGTCAATATTCTACACTTTTGATACATGACTTTTAATAATTCCACAGAGTCAAATTTCATACAAAAATAAATAGATTAAAATAAATTACTCTTAACAGTAATAATTCTGTACAGGACGGGGGTGGAGTAATCGCGCAGGACACTTGCACGTTTAAACTTATTCTACCAAATATAGATCTAAAAAAGTGTCAGATAATACAACAAAAAGGGCTTTTCAAGATGAGAGTGAATAGGCATTATTTAGGTGTGCACGCTCCATCGTCGACCTCATCGTCACTTTCCATCAGGTGAGATGGATGTCAAATGCGAGTGCAAATACTTACTTTTATAAAAAAAAAAACTTAAAAGTAATTAATAGATTCAGGCGTTACTTTGCGGAAGTGGTAATAAAATATAATGTGATAAAAATGGAAGTAATTTAATTTGCTACAGTGATGCAGTGAAGGTTAAATCGTGCAAAATAGCTTGTGTTGAAAATTTTTTTCATGCTGTATATTTTAACACCCGCCCTCCGCATAAAAACACAAACGCAACTACACCCCTATTAGAGTATTTTTTGGTGGTGGTTTGTGACTGTAGTCACTCAGTAAATATTCAACACAATCGCAGCTATTTTGCATGATTTAACCTTCACTGGGTTCGCGGAGTAGTTCTTACGAATTTTTCTATGCGTTTGTTACAGGTCTTTTGTATTACGTTTTTGGGTTTTTATCGCTGTAATACATACAAGAATGATGCACAGACCAGGTGTTTTATGATACTTAGTGACGGGACAAATGAGCCTGGTGGTAAGCGACACGCCTGTCAACAGTTGCAGTGCCACTTAGAGCTTTAAATCGCAAAGATCTGAGGGGCACTGCCACTGCGCCCGTTACCTTGAGACATAAGATGAAAAGTCTCATGTGCCTGTAATTTCACCAGCACCCATACTTTTCAAAACCGGAACGCAGTAATGTTCACATACTGCTTGGCGGTAGGAATAGGTAGGTGGCAGTAGTACACTGGACGAACTGTTTCATGAGGACTTCTCGCAAAACATAATTAATTTACCAATAATGAAAATTTGAATTTGATTGTCTGACACTTTTTAGATCTGTACTTTGTGGAGATGTAAGTTCAAGTGTGCAAGTACGTTTTGCATTGGACTGGTATTTACGCAAGAGCTTTCTTTTGTCACTGCACTGCAGAGTTATTAACGTTTAGAGCGAAATATTCAAATTTTTGCACGAAAGTAAAATCTGAGGAATTACCAAAAGTCAGAAGTATAAGTTCCATGATGTTCTAAGAAACATATGGCACCGACGGTAAATGTATCTCGTAGTGGTATTCAACGTGTTAAGATATTTGTTTTTCGACTACGTTTCTTTATTTTTACAACGGCAGTAACGGATACTCGTAATTTATGTTTTTCCGTTAAGTCAAATCCCTTTCTTTTATTTCTTTACCAAGTATACAATGACATGGTGATATCACCTTTTACAACCGTTATCAACTATAAACATAGGAACAGTATGAACAAAGTATGACTGTTGTGTGATTATGTAGTGGGTGCGGTTTTTGTTACAAAACGTTTTTATCATACTCTTACATACATACCTTTAAGTTAAAGTAGATTTATATGGGATTGTATTTTCTTATTACTTTTTCATACTTTACAATCTAATCTTTAAAAGATTAGTAGCAGAAGAGCTCCTTGTGAAAGAGTTCGCCTAGGGAAGTATTGCCACCTTACCTATTTCTGCCGTCAAGCAGTAGTGTGAGCAAGGCCTTTTAGTTTTGAAAGATAAAATTGTTGGTGAAATTACAGGCACATGGGACTTGTCAACTTATGTCTCACGGTGACGGTCGCAGAGGCAGTACCCCTCAGATCTTTGCGATTTAAAGTCCTAAGCGGTACTGCAACTGTTACACATATAGGCGTACGGCTAGTTCGTAGAGATGGGAAATACTGCTTATTTTTGAAACAATAAAACATTGTGCTTTTTTAAAAAAGCGTCGTTTTAAACGCTTTTCTCTTAAACGCTTTTAAGTTTGAAGCTTACAAAATCGTTTAGAAAAACGTTTAACCCCATATACTTTTATGTTAAAAAAAAACTTGCAACGTTGTGATGATGGCGAAAAGCAATAGTAGACCACCAAAGTTTTAAGATAAGTAAGTTCATAAGTAAAACACGAGTTTTATTTTTATTTTTAAAATTAAATTATTATTCACACTGGTGAATTAATTTGTTTATGATACATGGAAGGCGAGACTTAAACGTGTGGTTAACGTTTTAATTGAAAACCTTGCTTATGTGCTTATTTTAAAAAGCAAACTTTTTAAGTGCTTTTGTTTAAACGCGCACCTTTACTTGTTTATCCCGTAAGGAGGTATCATAAAACACGTCATCTGTACATCGTTATTGTATGTCTTGCAGCGATAAAAACCGAAATACAAAAGATTTGTAATGAAAGCATAGAAAAATTTGTAAGGTTTGCTGAGTCTACCTGCAGCTCAGTCAGTAGAGCGGTAAACGCAGGTTCGAATCCTGTCAGATCGAAGGAATTTTGTGTTAGATCTTTGTAATAATAATCAAGGGACTAAAACGAACCAATATATACCCGAGGCGGTTAGTCACTCGAGCTTTAGCACGGGTGTTTATTACTCCGAGGGTTTATATTGGTTTTTAGTTTTGACGTGAAAACTTTACTTTTCACATCGATGGCGAGAAAAAGAAATTCAATCGTTTACCCTCTACAACTAAATCACAAACTAAAATGTTCAACCAGACACAGATACAATAAACGCAACAAAACACCACGATTAGCAGTCTTTGGCATCATGAACGTCTTTCGAATCATTTTAGTGATACATCGCGTCACTATAATGGTTCACACCACAGACTGTGGTTCACACACAAACGGAAAAAATGGCGAGCTTTTGAAGTTTTGAAGTTTTTGAAGAAGCAAGTACAGGTTTTACAAGTTTATTGTGAAAGAAATAGTGATGAAGAAAATAGAACTATGTTCCTTATTATAAACCAAATCACAAAAGAGTTTATCCTGAAAATTACGAATTCAAAGTTTTTATTCAAAGTGACAATAATGTGATTTAAGTGAAAGTGAAAACGTAAATATTGACTCCCATCGCTTAAAAAACTATTTAGAAAGCCCAAACATGAGAATTAAGTCATTTAAGAGAAACTGAAAACATAATGTTGTAGAACCACAATGGAAAGTATTTAATGAGGATCCCGATAATTAAACGAAGACGTGGCTCAAACGACTTGAATCCAAGCCAAAACTCTTAACAAAAAGAAACGCACTAACGCGGGAAAATAATGTGGCCACCGCTTAGAGGATGGAAAAAAATAAAGGAACTTAGTCTAAGGGCCACCGTCTATGCCGAAAAAGTATGGAACTAAAATCAAGCGTAGTCTTAGAACGTAACATTTTAGCAATAAAAATGGTCCACACGCAATCACTTCTTTTTATTGAATTTCCGCAGCGCAGCGATCTGTGAAACTGTAGGTTTATTAGTAGGATGAAAAACCATTTCTTGGAAAATCCTTTATACTCTCTAAAAGAATTTAAGGACCTATAAATGTAACGCCATTAAGTTTTTTTAAATTTTTATCGCATTGACATACATTTTGTAAATTTGTTATCAACTTATGACGATTCTTGATGGGTAATGATATTTGATATGTAAGGAGATCCGCCAAAATGACCCCAGGCCCGGCGCCAAAATAATGTAACTCAGTTTTTAGAGTAAAAATAGCAATAATATTATATAGTTTCGGTATTGCTAAATTCACATGCTAACATAGTTTTTTTGCCTGTTGAATTTTCATAGGCGCTTTATGAAAAATTCTATTTATTAGAGAAGCGTCGTCCTTTTTAGTTCATTAACATTGTAATAAATAATTATGGCATATAAGCATGTATATCAATCATATTATATAAACATATTTCATTTGCAGTTATATTTTTGTTTAGAAAAAAAAATAGTATAAACTTCCCATAAATAAATAGAAGAATCAAGTCAAATGTTTTAGTTTTAGCTTTTTGTTTGTATTATATAATGATAAATATATCAACATTCGCATAAAGGTACAACAACAAATACGTTCAAACAAATAATTTAAATAAAGTATATTTGTATTGTTATATTATCGCTTTACGCGACTTTACTTAATGGCCGCATGACCTTCAAGCAATCGGCAAAGAAAGGATGAACACGCACGGATGAACGCACCTGTGACGTGAGGGCACAACTGGATACATCTTATTGTCTCGCTCACATATAATGGTTTAGAGGGAGAAACACGCAGACGCCCGCTTTGCTTTGGCGTGCTCTGCTCACGCGCAGTCCTACGCTAACGTTTGTTGTGTTGTGTACTGTGAACTGTGCGATACCTTACCTTGATCTTTATTTTACTTTGTTTAACCCTCCCGGACTTTTGATTTTCTTGTGAAATGGCAGACGTTTGTATTTTGTGTACACGATCATTACGGCAACGTCGTAGACATTTCATAGTTTACAGTACAGTACATACATGCTTATACGCCATAATGACTAATTACAAGATTAATGAACTAAAAATGACGACATTTCTCTAAAACATTTAATTTTACAAAGAGCCCCTATTAAAATTCAACGGGCAAAAAGACAATGTTAGCATGTGAATTTAGCAATACCGAAACTATATAATATTTTTGCTATTTTTACTCTAAAAATTGAGTTACATTATTTTGGCGCCGGGCCTGGGGTAATTTTGTATGGGATTTGGCGGATCTCCTTTAATGACAACAATATTATTATTAATGAATTGCTAATTTTCCCGCTCCGTAAGGCTATATTGACCTACTTTTAGGATGATAAGTTAAAAAGTAGATTATAACCGTCGTTCATAAACAGCATAAACTAGATTAACCAAATGAATATAACAACTATGTAATGAAGGGTCAAGGCATGCCAGTTTGCTACTTAAAAACTT